TCCAGGTTAGAGTCCTCTACTCAGTACTCACCTCCCCATTCAGGTCCCGCTGGGTGCCAGAGACCAGCTTCCTGACTCCTAACTGCCTCCGGAGGAAGCCCAGCCCAGCTCCTCCCCTGTCCCGTGCAGTCCTGACGCGGGGCGGGGAGTTCAAGATGCTTCCCGCTCGTGTCCCCTCTCCGCTGAGCCCCACGTTTCCAGACACAATTCTACATCCACTTCACACAAGCTCCTGCCTCTTGGTGGGCTTGTAAGTCAGTGGGGGAAGCTAGACTGTCTCGTGAGGGACTTGTCCCGGTGCACTTACTGGCCAGGCTGGCGCCGCCGTCTCACGCTCCACTCTCTATCGTCTGTCCGCGCTTTCCAGGTTTTGCCTTCCAATCTCCCGTTCACCTTATTCTTTTCTCTGATTTGTGTGTCCCCCGCTGAATCTCCACCGATTCACCTCGTTGTTTTTGAGGGAGAGCGATCCGATCGTGTGTAGCAGACCGAGATCTACGTCTCCCTCTCTGGAAGCACGGATCCGGGAGGCTACCCTAACTCCGCCATTTTTTCCACCAAAACTACACTTTAAATATTAACAAATTGTAAGCCATTGAATAAAATCAACCATGAATCCATTCTGAAAAAAGTAAATGAATAAATTTAGGGTTTCATGAGGAACGGAGATATTTACGTATTTCAAATTACCAACCCCACAAAATCCTAATTAATTACCAGGTGAAAAAGTAACTTTACAGATGAGAGACCGGCAGATACCACTGCTACTCATCAGTGCTAACATCACCAGTAATAGGACAAGTCAGACTGTGGGTCACATGGCAGGAGGCAATGAGAACCTCATAGGATCACTTCTGTTATACTCTTCTCCAAAATCATATGATCTCAACCTAATCATAACGAAACCATAGAAAACCCAATGGAGGGACACTCTACATTACTGGACTTTACTCTTCAAAAGATTACAGGTAGTGAAGGTCAAGAAAAGACTGAGGAAGTGCTCCAGACTGAAAGAATCTAAGAGACACGACAACTAAATGCAATCCATGGATCTGAATGGGAGCTATTGTTATAAAGGGCATTATAGACAATTAATAAAACTTGGAAAGAATCAGACCATTTAAAAACTGCATGTATTCACGCTAACTTTCTGATTACCAAGACTGTATTGCAGTTACGTAGAACGTCCCGACTTGTAGGAATACCCACTAAAGTAATCAGGGGTGATGGCATAATGTCGGCAATTAATGCTCAAATAGTTCAAAAAGAAAAAGTTCTCTGTAGTAAAACTTGGAACTTTTCTATAA